CAGACACAAAAATAGAAGGTCTACACCCACTGCACTGTTACAGGAACAAAACCAAACTACCAATTTGCGGGTCGAGTGAAAGGCTGATATTTTAAAGAACTTTTACTCTCTGGATTCTTTTGATTTATTTTAGCAGTGTGGTGGGTTGACCATGAAATTTGAGGGCTGCATACATGTCCTGCTAACACCGGGGATAGCCTTTAACAATAAAAAAGAGAATTAAATGAAGCTTATGCCAAATTTTAGTAAGTATGTGAGTACATAAATCTGTATGATAAATTGTAAATGGACTGATTCTTATATAGCGCTTTTCTACTCTCCCGGAGCAGTCAAAGCGCTTAACTCGTCTGCCTGCTTTCCCAGGTGTTTAACTCCTTCTCTATTCTTTACATCATTTCCACTTTACCACACTGTAAAACTCAATGCCAACATCAGCATTGTAGTAAAATAATTTTCATGCCCATCTTCTTCAAGCCAATCAGTCTCCACTCAGCAGTTTAAATCCCACTACTTACCTTTGATCCTCCCTTGCATTCTGCTTTAATTTCTGGCACAGCTTCGATTTCATTCAGCTGTGATGGACCATCAGAGTCTAACAGCCAAGCGGCTTACAAGGACATGAACTGCTGCACATAACAAGGCTAATTTACATCATGGAGCCCTGGTCTCAAAAACTGGCATAGATGTAACTCTGTCTGTAAGCTGGATTTAAGTGCTTAAAGTTTTACCAACATGTTTAGTGGCATCTTCTGTTAATACGGAACATGACGTCATGTGGTTGGTTGGTTGCGGCTAATTGATTTACATTCGTTTATCTTAGCTAACCAGTGGGTGACCTTGCCATGCACGTTTAAGGAATGTGGCACATCACGAACCAAAGCAACATCATCAATTGACTGAAAATCTCAACCATTTCTTTAGCCACCATGAGGTGGGGGATTTAGAGACTGGGGACCCAGCAACAATCTGCTACTTGTCCTGCAGACTGCTGAAGTACAATAAACACTCTGTAGGGTCAACTTATGGAAAGCACCTCATCCTGATGGTGTACTGGGATGAGTCCAGCAAGACTGCACCATGAAAGTAGCGAGGTCTTCACAAGCATTTTTAACACATCTTTGTCACATTGCTCTGTTCCTGCCTGTTTAAAAATATCTTTAATATGCCATTACCTAGCGTGACCAACCGTCTTCTTTTATTTTTTCACATTCTGTCCAGGGCGTCCAGGGGGATTTTCGAGATTGATAAAAAATGTCAGTGATTTCCTATATTCCGACAGAGGACCCATGTGTGTCACATCATCCCTGAACTGCTGCTTTGCGAGTTGTTCTGCGCTCACAGACGGGACAGACAGCGCGCAAGTTTAAAAGATCCCAAAGCGTAAGTGCATTTTTTCAGATGAACTGCAAAAGAAGTTTCCCTCGTACCAACCCAGTACTGGTAATTTTTCTTATGCAGATGAGGCATTATTTCTGTACCATTATTTAATTATGGGGCTTTTACGTTTTTTGTTGGGTTTTTTTGCACTTGTTGACTTGTAAAAGCCTAGTCTACAATTCACAATTCATTAACGGCACAGAGAAGGCATCGTTTAAATATGTTAAAAATGTTTCTTTAAAGTTCTTAATGACTGAGCCAAGTGTCCTCTTTTTTGGAAATCAAAATATCGTCACCCTAATATTACCAAAACAGACTGCATTAATGAATTATAAATTAAATTAAATTAAATTAAATTAAATTAAATTAAATTAAA